TACTACCATAACTTAAAGATTTTGATTGAGAGGGCTTAAAACGACGTAAAACAATTTTAAAATTTAACAAAATTAAACTTACAGTCACTTGAATAAGAGTTATATTACAATATTTCAGTATTTTTTTCATCCTGTTCAGCCATTCACCAACAGGTGGCGTTTTAGTAAAAATACTACTAGCAAACAATAGCTAACTATTACACATTAGATGGCGCTGAAACTCATTTTTCCTTACACTAAGAATTCACGGAGCGGTTTTCACCCGCGTCCGCCACGGGACCGCGGCATGTGTAGAATGTAACAGTTAAGTATGTAAAATACTAATTTTACATACTTAACTGCACATTTCACGGCGCGTTTTACGCCTGTAGTGGTGACGGTTGCTCGCGGTTGCCGTGGCGGGGTACTAGTAGACCCGCGCAGGACGCGATGACCGATGACGCTTGGTGGCCGTCGTCGCCCGCACACTCTGGCGGTCGGTTCAGACTCAATGTGGTGCAGTCGCGCGCAGGGTAAGTTCTCTATTAACCGCGCGACTTGCAATTAACTCCCACTAACTTCGCGGTCCGTTCCGCAATCGCAACGGTTTCGTGCCTGCAACCGCGGCAGCTTCGTGCCCGCACAAACTTGCAGGGTCGTAAGTATTGAAATAAAACCGCTATCTAGCGGCACCGGAGGGCGCGGATGGAAACCGCTCCGTGAATTGTTAACCTTATTAACCTTAAACTGACGCTACTCAACGAGGGATTTGGTCCTACCTAATCGATAGTTGGAAACCATGTGGCTGTTTTAATATTAAAAAAAGAATCCATTTTTCATACTATATCTACACAGGTACTGGTGTATTATTAAATTAATATATTAATATAAATTATTATTATTTTCTTAATGGCGGCCACTAGGCTTGGACCAGTGTCAGTTTTATAAGAATAATATAAAAAATATGGCGATCGTCGCCAGTGTCAATTTTCCATTATACGTTACCACGGGTTGCTGAAGCTGTCACTGTCAAGAGTAAACTCGAACCATCAACGAATTTAATAAATTAAATTATGTTGTTTTTTATGAAGGATTTATGTAATTTTCTATAATTGTTTCTAATTTATTTTGCATGCACATGTAAAATAAAGCCGATTTTATTTTATTTATTTTTTAAATGCATTTGCTATGGAAATTGAAACAAAGTCAGAAATAGTAATAAGAAAACCAATCTTTCGATTTTCCTGCAGCTTCAATCCAACCTTCTTTTATTTTAAACTCATTGGAAAAACTTAAAAATTAAAAATACTCTACGTTTAATCTACGAGTATAATGGAATTTAAATATCTTAAATATCTAAAACACAAATTTTTCTACAAGCAACAGCAACATCCAAATTGACATGAAATTGAAACGGTTGTCCGAAATATGAGTTGTGTTAAAGTTACTCGAAATAAAATGTTTTGTAATAATAATAATAATTAAATAAAAGAAATCAATTTAATGTGAATGCTTTTCGCTTCGATATTTTAGGGACTTTAATTACAAATATTATAGTAAGAAATTCAAAAATTTCAGTAAAAATTTATTGTCGATAAACATAAGTCTTCGTAAATGAACATCACTATATTTGAGTCTAGAAAATTCTATGGAGACAAAAAGAGAATATTGAATAATAATAGAAATAGTAACTAAAAATGCAAATAGCCGCTGGAATGTAATCTCACTGGTTTTAAAATTTTTGTTTTCACTCCAATTTTTACAAGGTGTATCGCTACAACTTGGCATTTTCACGTTTTACGAGAGATCTTGTATGTACAACGATCGCCATGTCACTGTGGCGATGTTTGTAGGCGTGTCACCGCGATATGGTCATTTTGACCATATCGAGGCGACTCGAACCACGCCCCCATACCACATCTCCCCTTTTTTTCTACATCTATACCCGCGACACAGGGTTTCCCTGGGTTTCCATGGGGGGCTATGAGTGTGTGCGTTAAAAAATATCGCTGTCTATCTCCCCTTGTCGGAAATAGAAAGTTTAAGAAAATTTTTTAAATTCTTAATATTGAACATTTTAAGAATTTAATTTTCTTTTTCATTCCAAGTAACGGGACGAACTAGTCGTGCACCTGGTGACAAACTACACGCCTGTCCGTAACAGATGCAGTGGTGCCACTCAGGGCTTTAAATCACAAAGATTTGAGGGGCACTGCCACTGCGCCTGACATCCTGAGACGTAAGTTGACAAGGTCCATGTGCTTGTAATTTCACCAACACCCTTACCCTTCAAAACCGAACGTAGTAATGTTTACATTACAGCTTGGCGACAGGAATAGGTAAGGTAAGGTGGCAGTACTTCCTTGGACGAACTCTTTCACTAGGAGCTCTACTACTATTGATTATTTACTAAACAATTATCATTAGCGCACGGTCTGAATTTTTATTGTAGCTCAATATTTCATAGAGGTCACACATTTCATGGACGTGGGTTGATCATGTACCATGTAAGGCACCTACTACGATAAAAGACCCATAATAATTCGTGATGATAATTTAAAATCGAAATGTTAAATAAATATTAAATAATTTGTCTAAAATGAATTGTGCTCCAGAACAATAACAGCAGAGGGTGGGATATTTCCTCATATATCTAAATAGTATTTATCACAGATATAAGAATAAGCAGTTTATTTACTTAAAATTCAAAGAAATAATACATATAGAGTTGATAGAACTTCCATCTGAAATATACACAATATTTTAGAGGGAAATACTATCCAAATCGAATCTGGAAAGAAAGGTTGTAAAAGCTAATTTTATCAAAAATGTGCTATTGGGTTCGTTGGGTTAAATCATGTAAATTTTCAAGTTCTTTCAAAAAATAATTTTCACCAAAAAGTGAATTTTTACGTGATCATACTTATAAAAATAAAGAGGAAATGAACAAACACGTTTATAAATAAGTATTTGAACGGTTATAAATTATTGTTTTTCACTTGTCTTATAAACTTTGTAGTTTGGGCTCTTGCACCTTTTCTTCCCTGAAGTATCGATATGGTCAGGAAGTACATAAGTTAGTACGAAAGTACATGTACTATATACATAGGTGATACCCTATGATCACATAGGTGATACCCTATGATATGTGATCACCTATCTATAAACCGTTGTTTAGATTTTGATCGGGCTTTCCATATCAAGCACCAAAATGCGATGTTTCAATATACACATGTATAACGTACATCAATAATTATAGTTCCACTAATTAATTATGAGTAAAATACAGTTTTTATCCTGTTTTTATCCGAAAAGTTAATTTATGAAAATGCAAGAAAATTAAAATTTTTACATATATACGAGTATTTTAGGTACCATTTCGAATACAATGTAATCCGCGAAAGATAGCAATTTGCATATTTAGTGATTAATGCCTTCGTATATTTCACGTTAGAGCCATATTAATATTACTTTAATAATAGATTTCATGATTATCTTTAATTTCTAAGAGCCAATGTTTATTGGAGAGATTTTGTCGTTGTTATAGGAACCATCACAACAATGAAATAGTGAGAGTTACTTTATTTTTGTTGCTCTGATTCCCGGTTCAGGCAATCTTTTCAAAGTTCTATGAACGCAGGGAAAAATAAATTAATGTTTCCTTTAAGTAAAATTAGCTATCCAAAGCATTTAAGGTACTTCCCCTTCATGTCCCATTATTTTTTCCAGCCTGTATATATGCATAATTTAAAAACACCTTCCTATTATTTAAATTACTTAATCTATCGTAACAGTTCGAGTTTTAGCGGTACCCGAAATTTAATTCAAAGTCAATTACTTGTAAATACCAGTAACTGGCATCAATCATCCAACAATGTGAATTTTACTCGTTGTGACTGACTGATAAAATCTAAAGCATACTACCATAGCATAGTAGTAGACATGCATATGCGGATCGGTTAAAAAAATCAATTAATATGATATACCCTAAATGTGTGAAAAGTTAATAAAGTAAAAAAATTAATAAATTCAAGAAAAAAATTTTAAGAGTATACTTATTTATATCATTTTACGTGATACAACCAAAGCAGTAGAAAATTGCAAAAAAAAAAAAAAAGATAGCCACCATACAACTTTTCAATTATTTCGTAAACTATTAGAGATAGGTACCCCCCAATACTCGAAGAAATGTTATAGAGGTCGAATGAACCTGTCGAATTTTTCCAAAATGGCGGTTTCAAAGCGATTGTCGGATTAAAATTTGGCCCTCTTTTGGTTTTTGGGCTCTGATTTTGAATCGAGAGCAAAAAATATTTTTACACGATTTCACACATAGTTTCTAAAAGGGCGCTATACAAAATCGACTTTTCTGTATTTACGTATCTATCTTTTCTGTCATATTATAGAATACTTTCTGTGTCTCAGAAGAAGACGAAGACACTTTGACTTATATTTTATTTATTTTTTGGTGAACTAAAAACAGCCATTTAGTAAACAAACAATTAGCAAATACTATGCCACTCATAAGAAAATACTTCTATTGCTTTTTGAAAAAGAAACCACGTTTACTCCTACATTTTTGGGAAATCACCTAAATTAGTATTTATTAAAGCCTCGTGGCTTACCTCTGGTGCAGTAAACATCCGGTCCTTTTTAAAGCTCATTTTCCAGTACATGAAGATAAATAATTCATAATTACTCAGTTTTGCTACCTTATTTGATGATTGCTTACAGTAGACGGAAGTCTGAAAGTTGTACTCCTTTTTCTTTTTTTTTTTACTTTTCACCCAAAGACGATTTGTACGAGGTAAAATAAATTTAAAAAATCATTTTCTCTCGATTCATAATTCTGAGACACATTTCTTCCATTGCAACAGTTACATTATAAAATAAAAATCTGAAGACACTCTGATCGCACTAAGATAAGAAATTTACCTTGACCATAATAACTACATTCTTGTTTTCTCTACTTTCTGAAGTCAAACACATATCAACTTAATTTTTTCGCATTTTCATTACAGCCACCCTGATTACGGCAGCGGCGGGGACCACTGTAGGATGGACATCACCAACTCTCCCCATACTGTTGGCAGAAAACTCACCTATTCAGACTTCCAAAGACCAGAGCTCGTGGATCGCCTCATTTATGATACTATGTTCAGGTACACATCATTCATCATTTAACATCTACTACCACTATACTAACTCTCACCGCTGTACTTATTAAATTTTTATAAACTATGCTGCTCAAATCCGAATGTAATATATACGATACAAATTTAAGTGCTAGTCGCAATGTTTAAAATTTGAAAAATTTGTATGATATAAATAGACAGGCTGGACTACAAAATCTTTTCAAGAGTAAGTATAAAGGATTGGTACGGAAGACAGACAAAGGCACAACGAAACATTTAAGTAGATATCTTCGGAATTTTGTCTCATTGTTTGTTATCATACAGAATTGTTCATTATTCTCAGAATTGTATTGTTACAAGAATCAGAAAACAACCATACTATGTTTCTGAAAACAAAAAACGAAAGGAAACTTTAATGATTATAACAGAAATAATTTAACAATTGAAGGAGAAAAAAAAAATTCAAAAACAATTTTAAAAGTCTCAATGCATCAATTTCAGTTGTCAGCCCCATACCAGCATCGTACCTCGCAGACAGAATTGGAACGAAGAAAACACTTCTCCTGGCATCGATTCCGTACATCATTGGATGGATCCTCGTGATGTTGGCACGCAACGTACCTACCATCTACGTTTCGCGTCTCATCTCCGGTTTGGGCTACGGCATTGCTTACACCGCAGCGCCAATGTACCTCGGAGAAATTGCATCTGATGAATGTCGTGGCGCTATGGCTACACTGATCACAGTTATGTCCAAGGTCAGAAATCTATTTAACAGCTATACAATAGTCTATTATCAATACGTATCTATTTAATAATTATGTAGATGTATTCTAATTAAATTAAAACAGTTAAATGAATAATAATAAAGTAACAGACCACTAAAATCTCAAACTATTGCATTTCATGTACTGTGAGTATCAGAGCAGCGTATTCACTCCCGGGCATTACCCAGAAGAGTCAGGCCAGGGGGTCGATTCAGAACCTTACGATAACTCAATTGTCGACCAATTCGATTTGATATCGCACGATTTCTTTTAATTTTTATTCACCACACCCGAATCGAACGTTAAACTGTCGTATTTGAAACCAAACTGAAAAGACGTCACTCCCGCACGATTACTGTAACTTCTCGACTGGCAAAGGCTACAAACGTTATTCAGAACACAGTTATCGAACGAAAGTTACCGAGCGTCCTATTGTATACAAAGAAGTATTAATATGGAAATATCCTATTATTTTAAATAAAGTCTGGATTTTGTTCAATTTTATTAACTTATTTTAATGCATACCTATATTTTAGGCCTTTAAAGTCTTAAAAACGTACACAAAAGGATTTTCATTTTTCAATAATCTATTTCATCGACTAAATCCGTAAACGCTGTTGGATAACGATTGTACGAGCTACCTCGACATACTTAGGAAAATATTATAATAATTGCAAAACTATATACGCTGACGTAGATTTTAACATAAAAGCTATTACGTGTTTACTTTATTTAGAGTTCAATAAACGGAATCATTGAGTGCGGACACGTTTCATTACTAACATCCCGTTCCAGTGATAAACTGATTGACTCTCCAGCAAACTACAACTTAGAGTAAGGGAAGCTACCCTTACAACGATATCGTATCCGAATCCGAATCGAACGTTTAACTCGGAATGTTCTGAAAAGCTCGGAAAGCGCCCTTCGATTTGAGAACGATATCCAATCGAACGATTCGATTAAAATATCAAAGAATTCTGAATCAAGTTCCAGGACCAATTCAGAAAAAATAAATCTCAAATTAATCCTACTGTGAATCGAACCCGGATTCTCCTCATACCACACCCACTGTGAAAACCTTTGGACCAACGAGGTTGTCGAGGTCATAATAAATTCAGCTCAGGTAAATGATGAGAAGCGAATGTTTTCTTAGTATTTTAGGATCTGGTTATGTAATCTTATCTCAATTTTGTCACAGACCGCCTTTTTGTTAATACAAGAGCAAGCAAGCAAAACTTTTGAATGTCTATACAAGTGAATCAAACAATCGCTTATTCATTTGACTTGAATCGGAGACGAACGAAACGCTTAGTGTATGAAAGAATAATATTGATCTTCAAAAATAACTTTGATTGTTTGTTTACTATTTCAGTTGGGAATCCTGTCCCAGTACTGCATCGGTCCCTATGTGTCCATGCTCGGCCTGGCTAGCTTTAACATCACAATACCTATATTATTCGTACTATCCTTCAGTATGATGCCAGAATCTCCATACTATTTTCTGAAATCGGGAGAAACAAATCAGGCAGAACGATCATTAAAGAAACTACGCGGCAAATTTTTTGTGAGAGAAGAACTAGACAGCATGACGCATTTAGTCAACGAAGATATGAAAGAGA